AGGATACTATAGGTCATAACTCTAATGATACGGTATTTCAAGACACTTTCCAGCTTGACGGTAGACGAGTTGTTGAACTCGGAGTACTCGTGAAAGATCTCGATCGTGGCTGCAAAACTTGTAGTAAACCTCTGAAATTATCCAACTGTATTCATGAAACTGTATCAGGATTAGGTTCATTCTTGTACATAACATGTGAGAATGAAGACTGTGGCGAAATTAACGTTTGCCATAAAAACAAAATCCGTTGATCAGCTGGTTTGATTGATATCAATGTTGCCTGCGCGAGTCAAGAATTCAAAACTTTCTTTTAAAAAACAATAATTTCTTTACAAACCCGGAGAATCGAAAACAAGTTAAAAATACTTGTAAAGGAAATTGTAGAAAAGCTTGGCTTATTTTGGGGAGTAAAGGAATGTACATTTTCTTAATTAACACCCCCCCCCCCTCCCAATTGGAGGTAAAAATCAACTCATCGATGTACTGCCTTCGTCTCTTGAAGTGCATTTTTATTGATTTAAGGGAGCATTCAGAAAAACCTGTAGCGGGAGGGGGCGGACTGATGAGAAATTATATTTTGTGAAAAAAATTTGCAGGACCCACCTTCTTCCATTATAAAAGTTTCAGGGACCCCCTTTATTATAGAAAAAAGTTTTTAGACACCCTCCCTGTCCCCCAAACCTGGTACTTTTAGACCTCAAATTCACTCTTCGTCAATTAAATATTTATCATATCATATTATAAAATAACTGTTATGAATCTCGTGTTCTGATTGGTTTGGAGCGCGTGCTTTATGAGAGCACATTGCACGCGCGCGCACTTTCCGTTGCGTCATTCCTATCTCTTATTGTAATTTGTATTTTATAAAAGAAATAAAAAACTTCTCTCGTGTTCTGTCAACCCCGCGTGCTTTATGACAGTACACAGCACGCGCGCGCGTTTTCTATTTCTTCAGTAGRGTGCTTCTCATTTGATTTGAAAACGGTACAGCCCGTAACATAGCTGTTAGTGTGTATATATCTATAGAAAAAATTCAATTGAACACTACTCATGCGAGAAACACCCTAATGAAGGCATTTCTAATTTCTTACTTTACCACAATCAGTTAGCCTGCCTACAGGCTCTACACAATCAGTAGTACAGCCAGTCAGTCTCGAATCTTCTCACAATCCTTCTTCCCGATCTAGTAGCTGTTACACTATCTTCTTCTGTGACTTCATGTGTACATTTAATTGTTTTTTTAAATTTATATCAATCACATGTATCATCATCAATTTCAAATCATTATCTTCTTATGATGGTATAAAAGTGCCGAAGCATAAGATTAAAACTGATTTTGTATTTTTAAAAATTACAAAGAAGAAATAACAAGTGTTATTCATCACTTAAAAATATTCTAGTATCCAAATATCAGAGTTCATAGGTTAAGTTTTCATGATATTGTTGAAGTATAATTGAATATGTTATTCCGTGGCCTGGTTTATATTTTTAATTTCGGGTACCCCCCTTCAGARCTTTCTTTTTTTCCAGTACCCCCTTTTATATCTTCATTTTTTTGGGGGACTCCCCACTTTCTCGTCAGTACCCCCAACAACTATTTGTGAATGCTCCCTAATTATTCAAAGCACAAAAACTACCGTCTTTTTGAGTTCCTGTGATTTTATTTGTAGTTCATTCCCTTATGATTACAACATGTTTACAACGAAGTTAACACTCTGAAGACATTTAAGTTTCAATCTTTGAATTAATCACTATTCATTTGACCAATTTATTATTTTTTTGAACTACTGAGCTTTTAGTTAACTTCAGTTTATCTATAACCTGTTATTAACCTGTTCTTGGGAAACAGCAAATACTCCAGCCACGTCTGCAAGACTGTTTGTATCCATGTCCACCCGGGCAGGCACCTCTCCAAAACCAAAGATCCCCATCGAGATGTCGTAGCTTTCTATTCTTACGGCAGCGGCATAGAGTGGCCCTGGTCTTGACTGAAATTGAAATAGTATTCCAAATGATCAAGATAATGCATCATTAATGAGGGATGAAAGGRGCGAGGCATTTCGTTTTAAAGAATTACACTCATTTAAGGAGGCTCAGTGGAAAGTGTTTCATGCCTCAAAGCGAGATTAAAAGTACCAAAGCGTTGRCTGGCGTAAGTTATCTTTCAAAACAAACTCCGCTTGTTCCAAACAGAAACAAGCTGGTTAACCGCTGTTTATTTTATGCAATTTTGATTAATACAAACGGCTTTAGTGCAATGATGATTAATATTCAAACTTTCACTCTCGTGAATGAACTTGTTTTGCATAAAATTGCAAAGCAAAGAGAAGTGGAAGAATATGCCTCTCTTAAGTAAGAATAACCTCCGTTTATCTAGAAATTATATTCAGCCTTTTCATCAACTGAGATTTGACTGAGGTGACGCTCAATAACAATAACACGGTAGATTATAAAGCGTAGTGTAGATAGTGTAGCTTTACAACGAAGAGACTCTTCCAAGTAAAAGTTTTGAAATCCGAATAAAGCAAAATATCCTATCAGAGAAGCTCATGAACAATTTTTGTACTCCTTTTGTCATAAGTATTATCGACTGTTTAGGTTTTGCTGTCCTCGGAGTGATTGATTGTTTTAGAAGGGCACATATAAATA